CATGAACACACACATGAACACACACACATGAACACACACGCATGAACGCACACACACATGAACACACACACATGAACACACATGAACACACACATGAACACACACACATGAACACACACACGAACACACACACACATGAACACACACATGAAAACACACACGAACACACACACGAACACACACACACGCATGAACACACACACACATGAACACACACATGAACACACACATGAACACACACATGAACGCACACACACATGAACACACACACACATGAACACACACACATGAACACACACACGAACACACACACATGAACACACACATGAACACACACACATGAACACACACATGAACACACACACGCATGAACACACACACATGAACACACACATGAACACACACACATGAACACACACATGAACGCACACACACATGAACACACACATGAACACACACATGAACACACATGAACACTTACACATGAACACTTACACATGAACACACACACATGATCACACACATGAACACACACATGAACACACATATGAACACACACATGAACACACACATGAACACACACATGAACACACACATGGACACACACATGAACACACATGAACACACACACATGAACACACACACATGAACACACACATGAACACACACACATGAACACACACATGAACACACACAGACACACACATTAACACACACACACATGAACACGCACACACACATGAACACACACATGAACACACACATGAACACACACATGAACACACATGAACACACACGCATGAACACACACACATGAAGAAACACACACATGAACACACACACACATGAACACACACAGACACACACATTAACACACACACATGAACACACACATGAACACACACATGAACACACACACGCATGAACACACACACATGAACACACACATGAACACACACACATGAACACACACATGAACGCACACACACATGAACACACACACACATGAACACACACACATGAACACACATGAACACTTACACATGAACACTTACACATGAGCACACACACATGAACACACACATGAACACACATGAACACACACATGAACACACACATGAACACACACATGAACACACACATGAACACACACACATGAACACACACATGAACACACACATGAACACACACACATGAACACACACAGACACACACATTAACACACACACATGAACACGCACACACACATGAACACACACATGAACACACACACATGAACACACACATGAACACACATGAACACACACGCATGAACACACACACATGAAGAAACACACACATGAACACACACACACATGAACACACACATGAACACACACAGACACACACATTAACACACACATGAACACACACATGAACACACACATGAACGCACACATGAACACACACATGAACACACACACACATGAACACACACACATGAACACACACATGTGAACACACACACATGAACACACACACATGAACACACACACATGAACACACACACATGAACACACACACATGAACACACACATGAACACACACATGAACACACATGAAAACACACATGAAAACACACATGAACACACAAACATGAACACACACACACATGAACACACACACATGAACACACACACATGAACACACACATGAACACACACAGACACACACATTAACACACACACACACACATGAACACACACACACACACACATGAACACACACATGAACGCACACATGAACACACACACAAACATGAACACACACACATAAACACACACACATGAACACACACATGAACACACACATGAACACACACATGAACACACACATGAACACACACACACATGAACACACACATGAACACATATGAACACACACATGAACACACACATGAACACACACACGAACACACACACATGAACACACACATGAACACACACACGAACACACACACGAACACACACACATGAACACACACACATGAACACACACACATGAACACACACACATGAACACACACATGAACACACACAGACACACAGATTAACACACACACACACGAACACACACACATGAACACACACATGAACACACACACATGAACACACATGAACACACACAGACACACACATTAACACAGACACATGAACACGCACACACATGAACACACACATGAACACACACATGAACACACACATGAGCACACACACACATGAACACACACGCATGAACACACACATGAACAAACACACACATGAACACACACACATGAACACACACATGAACACACACAGACACACACATTAACACAAACACACACGAACACACACACACATGAACACACACATGAACGCACACATGAACACACACACATGAACACACACATGAACACACACATGAAAACACACATGTGAACACACACATGAACACACACATGAACACACACACACGAACACACACACATGAACACACACACACATGAACACACATGAAAACACACATGAACACACACACATGAACACACACACACATGAACACACACGCATGAACACACACACACGAACACACACATGAACACACACAGACACACACATTAACACACACACATGAACACACACATGAACACACACATGAACGCACACATGAACACACACACATGAATACACACATGAACACACACATGAACACACACATGAACACACACATGAACACACACATGAACACACACATGAACACACACACATGAACACACACACGCATGAACACACACATGAACACACATGAACACACACATGAACACACACACATGAACACACACACGAACACACACACACACATGAACACACACATGAACACACACACGAACACACACACGAACACACACACATGAACACACACATGAACACACACACACATGAACACACACACATGACCACACACACGCATGAACACACACACACGAACACACACATGAACACACACACATGAACACACACATGAACGCACACACACATGAACACACACACATGAACACACACATGAACATACACATGAACACTTACACATGAACACACACATGAACACACACATGAACACACATGAACACACACACACATGAACACACATGAACACACACACGAACACACACATGAACACACACATGAACACACACATGAACACACACATGAACACACATGAACACACACACATGAACACACACACACACATGAACACACATGAACACACACGCACGTTCTCCCAGTGTCTCACCACGCTGCGGAGGTGGGCACCGTTGCCCTGGGTAACCGTTTCCACGGCCCCCACGCGGAGCTCCGTGTCCCCCACGCGGAGCTCCGTGTCCCCCACGCGGAGCTCGGCGACGCCCAGGCGGAGCTCCGCGGCCCCGACGCGGAGCTCCGTGGCTCCGAGCAGCGAGCAGAGGGACAAGTTCAGCGCAGACACGGCCTGGACAAGTTCAGCGCAGACAAACAGACACACACAGATAGACACACACAGATAGACACACACAGATAGACACACACAGATAGACACACACACACAGATAGACACACACACATAGACACATAGACACACACATAGACACATGGACACATAGACACACACATAGACACATAGGCATACACACAGATAGACACAGATAGACACACACAGATAGACACACACAGATAGACACACACACACATAGACACATAGACACACACATATAGACACATACAGACACACACAGATAGACACACACAGATAGACACACACAGATAGACACACACACACATAGACACACAGATAGACACACACACATAGACACACCAATAGACACACACACGTAGACACACACATATAGACACACACAGTTAGATACACACACACACAGACACACACACAGACACAGACACACACACAGACACACACACAGACACACACACAGACACACAGACACACACACACAGACACACACAGATAGACACACCCACACATAGACACACACAAACAGATAGACACATAGACACACACACAGACACAATTAGATAGACACACACAGATAGACACATAGACACACACAGATAGACACACACATAGACACACACACACAGACACACACAGAGACACACACAGACACACACACACAGATACACACGCAGACACACACACAGACACACAGACACACACAGAGACACACACAGAGACACACACACACAGACACACACACACAGACACACACACACAGACACAGACACACACACAGACACACACACACAGACACACACACAGACACAGACACACACACACAGACACACACACAGACACACACACAGACACACACACACACAGACACACACAGACACACACACAGACACACACACAGACACACACAGACACACACACACACAGATACACACGCAGACACACACACAGACACACAGACACACACAGAGACACACACAGAGACACACACACACAGACACACACACAGACACACACACAGACACACAGACACAGACACACACACACAGACACACACACACAGACACACACACAGACACAGACACACACACAGACACACACACAGACACACACACAGACACACACACAGACACACAGACACACACACAGACACACACACACAGACACACACACACAGACACACACACAGACACAGACACACACACACAGACACACACACACCCAGACACACAAACACAGACACACACACAGACACACAGACACACACACACAGACACACACACAAAGACACGCACACACAGACACACACACACAGACACACACATACACACACACACAGACACAGACACACACACAGACACACACACAGACACACACACACAGACACACACATACACACACACATACACACACACACCTCCGCTATCTTCCCCGCTATTTCTTCGCCCGTCGCCTTGGAGACCGCAGGGTGCCCAGTCGCCGTGGCGACCGTCGCCATGGCGACGGTCGCCGTGGCGACCGTCGCTACCGCGGGGGGAGGAGCCTGAAAAGAGAGGAGAGACTTTGACTACCTCGCCTGGTCTACAGGAGGTCGTGGTAGACGTTGACCACCTCGCCTGGTCTACAGGAGGTCGTGGTAGATGTTGACCACCTCGCCTGGTACACAGGAGGTCGTGGTAGACGTTGACCACCTCGCCTGGTCTACAGGAGGTCGTGGTAGACGTTGACCACCTCGCCTGGTACACAGGAGGTCGTGGTAGACGTTGACCACCTTGCCTGGTCTACAGGAGGTCGTGGTAGACGTTGACCACCTCGCCTGGTCTACAGGAGGTCGTGGTAGATGTTGACCACCTCGCCTGGTCTACAGGAGGTCGTGGTAGATGTTGACCACCTCGCCTGGTCTACAGGAGGTCGTGGTAGACGTTGACCACCTCGCCTGGTCTACAGGAGGTCGTGGTAGACGTTGACCACCTCGCCTGGTCTACAGGAGGTCGTGGTAGATGTTGACCACCTCGCCTGGTCTACAGGAGGTCGTGATAGATGTTGACCACCTCGCCTGGTCTACAGGAGGTCGTGGTAGATGTTGACCACCTCGCCTGGTACACAGGAGGTCGTGGTAGACGTTGACCACCTCGCCTGGTCTACAGGAGGTCGTGGTAGACATTGACCACCTCGCCTGGTCTACAGGAGGTCGTGGTAGACGTTGACCACCTCGCCTGGTCTACAGGAGGTCGTGGTAGATGTTGACCAGCTCGCCTGGTCTACAGGAGGTCGTGGTAGATGTTGACCACCTCGCCTGGTCTACAGAAGGTCATGGTAGATGTTGATCACCTAGCCTGGTCTACAGGAGGTCGTGGTAGATGTTGACCACCTCGCCTGGTCTGCAGGAGGTCGTGGTGGTGGTGGTAGTGGAATATCTTCGCTGGTTAGAAACATTTAGGCTGGCCTGCCTACGATCCATCCTGGGTTTAACCAGACTGGATTGTGTGAGGAGCTCACAAATCCTTGAAAGATCTGGGCAGGGTCCCATCGGTGAGCTCCTCCGGCAGGCAAGGCTGCGATGGCTGGGTCATGTAGCCCGCATGCCCAGCCACCGCATGCCGAAACAGCTTTTGTTTGGCCGGATTGAGGGGGCTAAGCGGGCGCGGCACGGGCTAGAGAAGAGATGGAGTGATGTGGTACAGGAGGACGTGGAGCTGAGTGGACTTGCCGATGACTGGTACCAGCGGTGTCAAGATCGGCCTCTGTGGAGGAGGCTCGTGAAGGACGCTGCTACTGGGCAGTTGGAGGCAGTCGCCCTCCAACAACAACAGAGGGCGGAGGAGCGACGCTCAGAACAACGAGCGGAGCGCCGGGTGGCTAAAGCACAGCAGGTTGGCACAGTAAGGGGCACAGGTGGTGCATCAGCCAGTCATCTCAGTCAGTCGACCCGTGGCACCTGGATCTGCCCCGTGACCTCCTGCCAGCGGGCGTTCGACACTTCACGTGGCCTCAGGGTGCACATAGCCTGGCACAAGCGTCGTGGTGACGTCACTGCCACTTAGTGGCGAATGGCGGTTGTTGTTGTGTCTGTGTGTGTGTCTGTGTCTGTGTGTGTGTGTCTCTGTGTGTGTCACTGTGTGTGTGTGTCTGTGTGTGTGTCTGTGTGTGTTTCTCTCCGTGTTTGCGAGCTCGCAGCTTTTACCGCTCCGGCTGGGGTGACCTCTTCCTCAAGCGCAGCGACACGAAGTGTGAGCTGAACCTCCACTTCTCTCCTGGCCTGTGTCTCGCTACGTAGAGACTCTACAGCCTGACAGAGACACGGGGGGAGAGAGAGACACACACAGGGAGAGAGAGAAACGGGGAGAGAGAGAGACACGGGGAGAGAGAGAGAAACGGGAGAGAGAGAGAGACATGGGGAGAGAGAAAGACACGGGGAGAGAGAGAGACACGGGGAGAGAGAGAGACACGGGGAGAGAGAGAGACACTGGGAGAGAGAGAGACACGGGGAGAGAGAGAGACACGGGGAGAGAGAGAGACACGGGTAGAGAGACACGGAGAAAGAGAGAGACACGGGGAAAGAGACACGGGGAGAGAGAGAGACACGGGGAGAGAGACACGGGGAGAGAGAGACGACCTCCCACCACCACCATCACCACCACCATAACCACCACCATCACCACCATCACCACCACCACCACCACCACCATAACCACCCCCATCACGACCATCACCACCATCACCATCACCACCACCACAACCATCACCACCACCATCACCACCACTAGCATCACCACCACCACCACCACCAGCATCACCACCACCAGTATCACCACCACCATCACCACCACCATCACCACCATCACCATCACCCACCATCACCACCACCATCACCACCATCACCACCATCATCACCACCATCACCACCACCACCATCACCCACCATCACCACCACCATCACCACCACCACCACCACCACCATCACCACCACCACCATCACCATCATCACCATCATCACCACCATCACCATCACCACCATCATCACCACCATCACCACCATCACCATCACCACCATCACCACCATCACCACCACCATCATCACCATCACCACCACCATCACCCACCACCATCACCATCACCACCACCATCACCCACCACCATCACCACCATCACCACCACCATCACCATCACCCACCACCATCACCACCATCACCACCATCACCACCACCATCACCACCATCACCCACCATCACCACAACCATCACCACCACCATCACCCACCACCATCACCACCATCACCACCATTACCCACCATCACCATCATCTCCATCATCACCACCATCACCACCATCACCATCATCACCACCATCACCACCACCATCACCACCACCATCACAACCATCACCACCATCACCACCACCATCACCACCATCACCACCATCACCACCACCATCACCCACCACCATCACCACCATCACCACTATCACCACCATCACCCACCATCACCACCACCACCACCATCACCACCACTATCACCACCATCACCACCATCACCCACCATCACCACCACCATCACCCACCACCATCACCACCATCACCACTATCACCACCATCACCCACCATCACCACCACCACAACCATCACCACCACCATCACCCACCACCATCACCACCATCACCCACCATCACCACCACCATCACCACCACCACCATCACCACCATTACCCACCATCACCACCACCACCACCACCCACCACCATCACCCACCATCACCCACCATCACCACCATCACAACCACCATCACCACCACCATCATCACCATCACCATCACCACCATCACCACCATCACCATCACCACCATCACCACCATCACCATCACCACAATCACCACCATCACCCACCACCATTACCACCATCACCACCACCATCACCACCATAACCACCATCACCCACCACCATCACCACCACCACCACCACCACTACCACCACCACCATCACCACCATCACCACCACTACGACCACCACCATCACCACCATCACCACCATCACCACAATCACCACCATCACCCACCACCATTACCACCATCACCATCACCACCACCACCACCATCACCACCATCACCCACCACCATCACCACCACCATTACCACCATCACCATCACCCACCATCACCACCACCATCACCACCATCACCACCATCATCACCACCATCACCACCACCATCACCATCACCCACCATCACCACCACCATCACCACCACCACCACCATCATCACCACCACCACCATCACCATCATCACCACCATCACCACCATCACCATCACCACCATCACCACCACCATCACCATCACCCACCATCATCACCACCATCACCATCACCACCATCATCACCACCATCACCATCACCACCATCACCACCATCACCACCACCACCATCATCACCACCACCATCACCCACCACCATCACCATCACCACCACCATCACCCACCACCAGCACCACCATCACCACCATCACCACCACCATCACCATCACCCACCACCATCACCACCATCACCACCACCATCACCACCATCACCCACCACCACCACAACCATCACCACCACCATCACCCACCATCACCACCACCATCACCACCACCACGATCACCACCATCACCACCATCACCCACCATCACCACAACCACCACCACCATCACCCACCACCATCACCGACCATCACCACCATCACAACCACCATCACCACCACCATCATCATCACCATCACCATCACCACCATCACCACCATCACCATCACCACCATCACCACCATCACCATCACCACCATCACCACCATCACCACAACCATCACCACCATAACCACCATCACCCACCACCATCACCACCACCACCACCACCACCATCACCACCACCACTACCACCACCATCACCACCATCACCACCATCACCACCACCACCATCACCACCATCACCACCATCACCATCACCACAATCACCACCATCACCCACCACCATTACCACCATCACCATCACCACCACCATCACCACCATCACCCACCACCATCACCACCACCATCACCATCACCACCACCACCTCCACCATCACCACCATCACCACCATCATCACCACCATCACCACCACCATCACCATCACCCACCATCACCACCACCATCACCATCACCACCACCACCTCCACCATCATCACCACCACCACCGCCATCACCATCACCACCATCACCACCATCACCATCACCACAATCACCACCATCACCCACCACCATTACCACCATCACCACAACCATCACCACCATAACCACCATCACCCACCACCATCACCACCACCACCACCATCACCACCACCACTACCACCACCATCACCACCATCCCACCATCACCACCACCACCATCACCACCATCACCACCATCACCATCACCACAATCACCACCATCACCCACCACCATTACCACCATCACCATCACCACCACCATCACCACCATCACCCACCACCATCACCACCACCATCACCACCACCATCACCATCACCCACCATCACCACCACCATCACCACCACCATCACCACCATCACCACCATCATCACCACCATCACCACCACCATCACCATCACCCACCATCACCACCACCATCACCATCACCACCACCACCTCCACCATCATCACCACCACCACCGCCATCACCATCATCACCATCATCACCACCATCACCATCACCACCATCACCATCATCACCACCATCACCATCACCACCATCACCACCACCACCACCATCATCACCATCACCACCACCATCACCCACCACCATCACCATCACCACACCATCACCCACCACCATCACCACCATCACCACCACCATCACCATCACCCACCACCATCACCACCATCACAACCATCACCACCACCATCACCACCATCACCCACCATCACCACAACCATCACCACCACCATCACCCACCACCATCACCACCATCACCACCATTACCCACCATCACCATCATCTCCATCATCACCACCATCACCATCACCACCATCACCATCATCACCACCACCATCACCACCACCACCATCACCACCACCATCACCACCATCACCACCATCACCACCACCATCACCAACATCACCACCATCACCACCACCATCACCCACCACCATCACCACCATCACCACTATCACCACCATCACCCACCATCACCACCACCACCACCACCATCACCACCACCATCACCACCATCACCACCATCACCCACCATCACCACCACCATCACCCACCACCATCACCACCATGACCACTATCACCACCATCACCCACCATCACCACCACCACAACCATCACCACCACCATCACCCACCACCACCATCACCACCATCACCCACCATCACCACCACCATCACCACCACCATCACCACCATCACCACCATCACCCACCATCACCACAACCACCACCACCACCATCACCCACCACCATCACCCACCATCACCACCATCACAACCACCATCACCACCACCATCATCACCATCACCACCATCACCACCATCACCACCATCACCACCATCACCATCACCACCATCACCACCATCACAACAATCACCACCATCACCCACCACCATTACCACCATCACCACCACCATCACCACCATAACCACCATCACCCACCACCATCACCACCACCATCACCACCATCACCACCATCACCACCACCACTACCACCATCACCACCATCACCATCACCACAATCACCACCATCACCCACCACCATTACCACCACCACCATCACCACCACCACCACTACCACCACCACCATCACCACCACTATCACGACCATCACCACCACCACCATCACCACCATCACCACCATCATCACCACCATCACCATCACCACCATCACCATCACCACCATCACCACCATCACCACCACCACCACCATCACCATCACCACCATCACCACCATCACCACCATCACCATCACCACCATCACCACCATCACCACCACCACCATCACCATCACCACCATCACCACCACCACCACCACCATCACCACCATCACCATCACCACCACCACCACCACCATCACCACCATCACCACCACCATCACCACCATCACCCACCACCATCACGACCATCACCACCACCATCACCATCACCCACCACCATCACCACCATCACCACCACCATCACCACCATCACCACCATCACCCACCATCACCACAACCATCACCACCACCATCACCCACCACCATCACCACCATTACCCACCATCACCATCATCTCCATCATCACCACCATCACCATCATCACCACCATCACCATCATCACCACCATCACCACCATCATCACCACCATCATCACCCACCACCATCACCACCATCACCACCACCATCACCACCACCATCACCCACCACCATCACCACCATCACCACCACCATCACCACCATCACCACCATCACCCACCATCACCACCACCATCACCCACCACCATCACCACCATCACCACCATCACCCACCATCACCACCACCATCACCACAACCACCACCATCACCACCATCACCCACCACCACAATCATCACCACCACCATCACCCACCACCATCACCGCCATCACCCACCATCACCACCAACATCACCACCACCACCATCACCACCATCACCACCATCACCCACCATCACCACAACCATCACCACCCCCATCACCCACCACCATCACCCATCATCACCACCATCATCACCACCACCATCACCCATCATCACCACCATCACCACCACCACCATCACCACCACCACCACCATCACCACCATCACCACCATCACCATCACCACCACCATCACCATCACCACCATCACCACCACCATCACCATCACCACCACCATCACCCACCACCATCACCACCATCATCACCACCATCACCATCACCCACCACCATCACCACCATCACCACCACCACCATCACCACCATCACCACCATCACCCACCATCACCACAACCATCACCACCACCATCACCCACCACCATCACCACCATCACCACCATTACCCACCACCACCATCATCTCCATCATCACTACCATCACCATCACCACCATCACCATCATCACCACCATCACCACCATCACCACCATCACCCACCATCACCACAACCATCACCACCACCATCACCCACCACCATCACCCACCATCACCACAACCACCACCACCACCATCACCCACCACCATCACCCACCATCACCACCATCACAACCACCATCACCACCACCATCATCACCATCACCACCATCACCACCGTCACCATCACCACCACCACCACCATCACCACCACCACCATCACCATCACCACCATCACCACCATCACTATCACCACCATTACCACCATCACCATCACCACCATAACCACCATCACCCATCACCATCACCACCACCATCACCATCACCACCACCACTACCACCACCACCACCATCACCACCATCACCACCATCACCATCACCACCATCACCACCATCACCATCACCACCACGACCATCACCATCACCACCATCACCACCATCACTATCACCACAATCACCACCATCACCCACCACCATTACCACCATCACCATCACCACCATAACCACCATCACCCACAACCATCACCACCACCACCATCACCACCACCACCGCCACCACCATCACCACCACCATC